CTATTGCACCGCGGTGTCAACGTCGTCATTCCTCGACACCGAAACTTCAACGAATGTACCGCGTTTTAAGCAGTAAGCATTCAGCCACACCAAACTAGCTGTGCTATTGTATAAAATACGTTAGACTTCAGAAGTAAACGTCAGAAGTAACGTAGGATATTTTAGATTTAAGGAATGCGGGTGATCAGTCCACAGTTCCCGAGTGTCTTGGAGTTGAAGTGATTGCCTCCTTTAGGCCTAGACACCGGCCCTGCTGATTTTGGTCCGCCCCGGGTATTTTATTTCCCCGGTACCCTGTAAGCGAGCTTTCCCCTATCCGCCACCTGGGGAGGCGCCCGATGGAGGATCAGCAACCTCACACGGGAGTATGACAATTACGACGTCAGATACTTATCTAAAGATCAACTTTTTTGGACAGTTAATAACTGTCGAAATTCAAAACACAGATAGGTGATCAGATTGGTTTGTTTGAAAAAATCCAAGAAAAATTAGATTGCCTACTAAATAAACGAGATCCCGAAAAGATGTAAAGCTTAATTGCGGCCTACAGAAGCACGTACCACGAAATTTTCTTTGGAAAAAAAAAATTCTGAAAGTACGTTTCTTACAAAGTAGTCTTTGCGTAGGAGAAAGGGGGGTAAGATAACGACCTTATAGTTTATGGATTTTTCCTAATTTCTGTAATAATTTAAAAATAATGACTTATTTTTTTAGATTCATTAAAGCCTTTTGTATCAACTGTAAAAATTTAAAAACCGTTAAATAAATTAGAATATTTAAAAGAACGTGTTGCTTTTGTCATCTTGCCCCATATGCGGGTAAGATGACTTTAGTAGTAAGCAAGATAACAAAAAGTCAAATTAAATTCAAAATAACAATAATTTCTCTTCGCCAGTAAATATTAAAAACGATCCAAAATTATTTAACAACACAACTGGTCAAAATTAATTCTTTATTAAATCACAACGTTTCGATCTTTATCAAGTTAGACATTTTTACACAGCCTCAACAAGTACAAAACCATCATAAGTAGCCAGACGTTGATTCTTGGCACCATCGTGCGTACGTAAGATAATTTTGTGCGTTAAATGATAAAATGTAAAAGTGTAAATGTATAATAAAACGGAATAATCGAAACATCTTGTTTGCTATATCCGAAACGTGTCATGGTCAAAGTCACACTAATTACTCATTACCCATTAGTGTGACTTTGACCATGACATGTTTCGGATATAGTTCACTCCTTACTTTATAATATACATACCGTTATTTGACAGATAATACCGTGTAAAAATACGTGCTTCTGCTTGCCGGTATAAAACGTATATATTGTTTACTCACTGGGGATTTACCAGTAATAAATCTAGAAACAAAGTAAGCAGGAAAAGGTAAGATGGTATGATTGGTTAAGTAAAAATTGCTGTTGTAAAACAGCCTGCAGTTATTATGAAAAATATCGAATAATTTACCATTCGTAATTTCAAGCTGTACTTGTAAACTATATAAAGGTAAGATCGTATTATAAAACATACATATTGCAGTTTTATCGTTTTAAGAATTCTTTTGTCTTGCAATATTAAGTGTAAATTCAATTCTGCTAGGCAGTTATTGGCAATTTAAATAAATATTACGTATAGTACGTAAAGGCTCAGGAATTGTAAATAACTTTGTTAGGGAGAGTTTTGCTTTTTTTATCTGTTTGTTGTAATAATAAAAAAAGCCATAGTAAAGTAGACATCAACCAAAACTCTAATACAGAAAATATTTTAATATTAATGAAAAGTGGCGGCATCACTCTTTATAGGTAAAATATAAAATCAATTTTTTCTTCGCAAAAATTTCGATGGAAGTTTCGCAACTTTCTCACAGAGATCTAATATTCGAAATCTGAGTGACATATATATATATTAAACCTCCAATTAAAATTTCATTAAGAACATTGACGGAGTATCTACTTTTTAAATTAATTTTTTATTATCAACTTTATTATTAACGCATTAACGTTCTTCTTTCAATAAAATTTTCAAACTTTAGAAAATTCCGCAAAATGACATTTATCAGTATGTTATATTCATTTATTAAGCCAAATCAAGAAAATAAATGTGACTTAAATATAACCGATATCAAATAATAAAATAATGTAAAGGTTCTAATAATAGAATATTAAGAACTGTCCCTCATCGATTTTGATATGTTGTAGAGTAGCAAATCGTAGAAAACATGTATTTTTTTGTCGGCTTCGAAGCATGTTTAAGGGGAGCACTTGGTTTGAAACGCTAAAAAATAATTTTTATACATTTTTTTGGAAAAAAACTGTTCTATAAATTTCATGTTTGTGCACATATTTTGTTTATATTTTATAGAATATCTATGGATTTTGATATTCAAAATAAACATATTATAAACATAAAATTGTCGAGATATCTACTACATGGATAGTAGACGTGGCTACACTAATTTTTTCAAATTGCTGACAGAGAAAAAACAGCTCAATGCAATGATTTGGGCTTTTGACATATAAATTAATAACTATTTTCTGTCCGTCCAAATAATTTTATTTTTGTATATCAAAATTCATGGAACAAAATTCATATTCTATGAAGTATAAAATGTACAACAAACATGAAATTGACAGCACTAACCGTTTTTTTTTTTTTTTTTCAGAAAAAATATATATACAAAAATCATAATTTTTAGCGCTCGAAACTAAGAGTCTCTTTTATATTGCTGAACTGGCTGCACCAGTTCAGAGTTTGTCTTTTTTACTTCACACTGGAAGGAAAAAGATAAGCTCTGAACTAGTGCAACCAGTTCAACAATAGAAAACAGACTCCAGATGGTCCCTTTAAGGGTTGAAACAACTCGAAAAAAATTCCACATATTTGATTACTTTAGTTAATATCTCCAAAACCGTGAGGTATATAAAAAAATGTTTTAGACAAAAAGATTACGGTATTAAGTGATGTCTATAAACACGTATTTAGATTTTTTAATATTATATTTTTGCAAAAAAATACCTTGAAGGGTGGATGTTTGTTAAAAAGTAGGACATTAAAAAAATGTAATTATCGATTACAGAGATTACTTAATACCGTAACCCTTTTGTCTATAACATTTTTTGATATACCTCACGATTTCAGAGATATTAACTCGTAATCAAATATATGGAATTTCTTTGAGGAATTATTTCAACCATTGTAAGTATTTTTGAAACGATGTCCGTGCAAATATACTAAAAACAAGAAAACTTCAGAACATTTCTATTAGCTTCGCGTAAAAGAAATAAAATCGTCGGTCAAGCACTCGACATTATTCGCACACAAAGATACGGATCCG